CTTTTATGGACTGAAGTATTCTTTTAGCAGTCTGTCGCTACACGATGTCGGGCGACGGTTCTATTTTTTTTTTGTTTAACAAAAAGAATAAGTTTTTTTTTCTTGATTGGGGGAAATAAAGATTTTTATTGGAGTCGCTATTTAGTAATTTGAGAGAACTAGAAATCCAAAATTAGACACTGGTCCTAAAGATTCAGGTATTGAGTTAGTTATGATTAAGGGAAGGTAGACATCACCCTTAAAACATCCTTTCAGAGAAAGGTTACCATTACTTGTATGTTTTTTATTTTATTCAAATGCTATTATATTTTGAACTTATTTGCAAATTTTTTAAGATGGTTAATATCGGTTCCTAAAATAGAAAACACGTTAAAAATAACATCAGTCCCTAAAACTAGAAGACTTGTCTAAAATATCGACTTTTATCCCTAAAAAGAAGAGTTACGTCTAATCTACCAAAAGAAATAATAATGGACATAATCTATATTTGGTATTTAAATTTTTGACATCGGTTCTTTTCTGTAAATAAAAAAGACGTGTCAACAAATAACATTGATTTTATAAAACAAAAATTATTTTGATATCGTTGAGAAATGATATATCCATACTTGAGAATCGAGTTTTGAACCCATGAACAGTGACATGATAAAATGGGCGTTGGATCCACGTCGTTATTTTTTTTATATTTATTTTTGGTTTTTTTGTTTTTTTACATGCAAAAAAAATTTACAAGTATTTATATATAAAAATATCAAAAATACCGTAAAAAATCACAAAAAATTACCTGAGTGCCATTGTATAGGTAAAAGACTAAAATACCCTTGGATTTCTCAGAAATTTACGAAAATACCACTAGCGGCGCTTGTGCCTCACGCGCGGTTACTGTTGGAGGTGGCGAAATTTCCCGGCGAGATTCTGACCAACACATGGTTGATTTTGGTAGATCTGAGGGAGAGGATTCTGATGACAGTGGTTTCGTCTTTTGTTGATGGCTGATGAGGGAGAATCGTCGATTTGAAGCTTCAGGCGACCGATGATAATCACAGCCTTTTCCGGCCAGATGAGGCGGCGAAAATACGTGAAACTGCCGGGGTTTTACTTTAGAGGGGATGAATCACCTTTCTGTGGTGGTTTGACAGCTTAAAACGGTCGAAAATGGGAGATCCAATGAGAGAGAGAGAATCGCCGACGAGAGGAGAGAGAGGCTCCAAGATGCTGCTACAGTATGAACGCGAGCATGGTGCACCGGTGTCTCTAAAGGCTATGAACCGTTGGATCATGGATGAACTAATCCCGCGACTGTGATTGGTTTGATCTGCAAGATGATCGGACAGTCCGGATGGGCTAAGATTTGTTTCGGTGTGGCGCGGTGTACCGAATGTTTTGTACACTTGATGACATGGCGCAATAGGATCGAATGGTAGATTATTTTAAAGGCTGAGATAGATTTGAGTTTTAATCTAGTGTGGTAAGTCCTATTGTATCCTATTAAATCAAATGTCCAGATTTAAACACTATTTGATCTAACGGTTATGATATTTTTAGTATTTTTCAAATTATTATTTTTTAAATCAATATCTTACTCGCGTGAAGGAAAAGTAGAAAAAAACATGAATAGTATCAAATAGTAAATAGTACATAACATTCTTTCTCAGAGTTTCTCTTCTATTTTCTCTTCTTTTTTTCTTTTTTTTTTCTGTCATATTTTCACTGGCTATTTATAACCAATGAAGAGGGGACAGAAAATCATGGGTTATGTAAAATTTTCAATGTTACAGCTGCACCGCCTATCATAAGCAAAAATCCTCCGCCTATTGTGACAAAATTGTATTATTTTTTTTGTTTTATTATATATAATAATAATATTTATTTATAGGGGTAAAATTAAAAACTCAAATCAGTATTAGAAAAAACTTTTCAACCGCTAAAAATCAATTTTAATTACCGAAAATTATATTGGAACATAAAAAAATCTTTATACGGGTATCAACTCGGTGAACCGGATTTTTTGACTAAAAATACCAGTTTTGACCAAAAATAGCTTAAAATTTATTTTTTATCCTGGTCAATATGGTGTGACCCGTATTGACTCGGTGGACTCGGTTTTGACCGAAAATAACGGCTTTGATTGAAAGATACGGTTGATTTGAGAAAATATATTTTAAACTTCTTTTTATTTATTTATTATTTTTTTTTATGAATAATAAAATAAAATAACATTTAAGAAAATCTTAGTGAATCCAAAATTGGGTTACAACACAGTCAAAAGATAAAATTATAATAGATTCTCTATGTATCTACTTATAAGGCTTATAAGGCTTACTGAATACATTATATTTGGCTTTATTATTGTTAAATATATTAAAGTCCTTATAATTTGCTAGGTAAGAGTACCATCAACCTTTTTTTCCTTCATAATTCTTATTTGATTTCAAAGTAAACTCACTTGAGATACTGAACACCATTACTCCATGTTCAAAATTTAGCTTCATAAAAAGTAACATCTCAATTAATAATAATTTTTTTGGTGATGAGATTATAGAGTTTATAAGCTTTTGAATGATCATTATTAACAAGAAAAATACATTTTTTTCTTTTGTCATTAAGCTTTTTTCTCTTTTGAATTGGAATATAGGTATAGGCTAGGCATCTAAAAATTCTAAGATGATTAATTGCCGGTCTTTGTCCACTCCGAGCTTTTTTTGACATCTTATCTTGAACAAAAAGTATAGGATTTCTATTCAAAATATAAATCCTTTAATTTATTATTTCAAGCCAAAAATCCTTTGGTAAGCCACTTCTTGTCAAAATACTTCTCACCATATCCATAATAGTATATTTTTTCTTTCATAAACTCTATTTTGTTGAGGTATATAAGTTACAATAAATTGTCTCTTAATTCCACGTGTTTTATAAAAAATTGCAAATTCATGCGAGTTATACCTTTTATCATTATCTGTTGAAAGAACTTTTATTAGAAAGTTAGTTTTATTCTTAACAACTACTTTATACCTCTTAAAGGCTTCAAAAGCTTTAGATTTTTCTTGTAAAAAATAAACCCAAATTTTTTTTTAACTATAATCATCAATAAAAGTGATTATATATCTTTTACATTCATCAGACAATGGATTTATTAGCCCACAAACATTGAAATGAACAAGCTCCAATGACTTTTTTTCTTTGATATCAATTGTTAAAAATAAAACACATAAGCATTTAGATGAACCTCCTAAGCTTTATTGATTAATCACTTTTATAAACACACACTTCAATATAATTAAATTTTGAATGCATTAGTCTTTATATTTATAAAAAAATTTCACCTCTAACTATTTTAATCCAATTAGAAATCTGACTATCTAGTTAAATAAGAATTCTAATAAACTAGTCTAACACAAATCATTCTTTATCAAGGATTTCTATTTAGTATCTAAGATTCCTAACTAAATGGGTAACTTAATGGGTTAGGGTTTTCAATGTATTATACCATTACTTTATATCAAGATTGTCATTTTAAGAAAATCTTTAGTAGTATATCAGTAACAAAAATATAACTTCAATTGTCCATTGGGAACAAAAAAAAAAAAGGGTATCAAGACATAAAATTGGTTAATATTACTATTTGAATTTGAATATGAGTTTTTAGAGATTTTTTTAAAATCAATACAAGTCCTTAAATTTAACAAGAAAACTTTAAAACAAGCTTATTTATTCATTGAAAAATGATACATGGTGAATTTTCACCATCTCTTATTCCCATTTAGCACACCAAGTTAGTGGTCGTGCCATATAAAAATAAAAGAGAGCAATTGTCTCTTTAATTTTGTTATTATTGTTTTGAATTTTTTTTGAACAATAATCATTGATTTGATTGTGTTGAATTAATTAAAGATTATATAATTTCTAATTGAATTGATTACAGTATGGAATTAAACTTTTTCACTAGATGAACAAATAAACAATCTAATTGTTATCGGTAAGTAAAGATAGATATTTGTAGAATTAAAATTGAGATTGATTCTTTTTATGATGTTAATTTCCTTGTGCCTTCCTATAAAATAATCATGATAGATGATTGAATAATTTTTTTTTTCTTTTTTCTTTTTTTTTCTTTTTGTTAGACAATTTGTGTTTTGCTTGAGAAGAATTAACACGTGCATGCAAGCCTAATTTTATTCAACGCAGGTTGGTATTTTTCTTATAAAAAAAAAATATTTTTTGGTTTTTAAAAATGATTTGTCATTATAAATTTAGACTATCAATTATAATCTATATTCATGCATTATGTACAGCATAATACATGATAATGGGATGTGAAATGAATTTTAATGAATTAATGTGTATTTTATTATAAATTTTATATGAAAAATTTATAATTATTATGTAATTTAACTGAATTTTATTATTATAAAAATTCAAAAAAAATAATTATAATATAAATTTTTTTATTTTAAAAGTATTTTAAAATTAATTTTGCTTTGCATGAGTTAGTATAGTATATTTGTTTTAAATTGATTTTTAATATATATTTACATAATATAATATTTATTAATTATTTATCCCCTTATTTAAAATACTCTAGTTTCGCTAGTGCACCAAGTCCTCTTGTGAGAACTAGATAAACTCTTCCCTTCCAACCTTACACATTTCCTTCGTTCTCATATGTATGAAATCACTTGGCCACCAGCAATACTTACACGCTCATGTAGTAAATTTCAATTCACTTCTAATATCTTGTCTAAAATAAAATATTTAGGAGAAGATCAAAATAGGAGAGCTATTGATGCATTGTTAGTAAAAATGTATTAGTTGTCTACACGCTTGTTCAATAGTTTACATATATTTCACATAAAAACTCTAGAGTTTTAGATTTCAAATCAATTTTTTTTTCTTTTCTTAACAACTCTACTAGCACGTATTCTACTCGTTTTAAAGTACCATGCCTGTATTCGTTTTATTAGGAGAAAAAGTGGCGGGGGAAAAGAGAGAGGAGGGAGGCAAGAGATTAAGCCATGTAGTTTTCTTCCCACGTCGGTGATAGCCCAGTGCAATGGGCTCAATCACCATAAAACCCATGGCGTCAGACCAATCTACATTTCAAACATCTTATACAATCGGAACCGAAGCCCAGACGGACCAGACGTCTATCAAAAGTCAAAACACACAGACATTTCAGAGTTCAAAACCGAAATGCTACCATCACTGGACTCAAACATGTAGAGGGGACAGGCAGTGATTCCATGGATATGTTTGATATTCCTGCT